TCCTGGCTGGCTCAGCCAGTAGAGCATGTGACTCTTGATCTTGAGGTCATGAGTTCCAGCCCCAAACTGGGTGCAGAGATCACATACATACATACACACATATATACATGGAAAAAATAAACCAGTCATGTAGTAAGTAAAATGTTTCTCTGAGTTCTCTGAGCCACTCTAGCAAATTAATCAAACCCTAGGAGGGGGTTCTCAGGAAACTCTGATTCATAGTCAGATATATAGGTGACAACCCAGATTTGCTACTAGCATCTGAAGAGGGAGTCAGGGTGGGGGACAGTCTCATAGGACTGAACCCTTAACCTCTGGAATCTGATGCTATCTTCTACTAGGTAAACCTAGTAGGTAATGTCAGAATCGAGTTGAATCGTAGGACATCCAGGTGGTGTCCCAAAAATTGCCTGTTGGTGTGGGAAACACCCCCCCCAAGTTGGAATTGGTACCGGAATTAATTTACCATCCAAGTACAGTTCCATCTTTGGCCATGAGGAAACAGTGGTATCAAGAGGCAAAGTATTAACTAAAGCCACAAGACCTATAAATGAAAATCCTGAGACTAAAATCCACACCTTGAGCCTTTTCACTATGTTACAAATTTAAGCAAAGGGAGAGGAAAGGCTCCAATCTGGAGGAAGCCAACAGGCTCCGACAGTGTATTGGGTACCTTGGCTGGGACCGGAATAAGACTTTATAGGAAGTCTCTTTTAAGTATTCTTCTTAAGAGATTAGAGAGAAAGAAAGGAATCATCAGAAAGAGAAAAGGGAAAATTAGCAAATAAAGAGCAAAGTTAAACCCTGGACTGATCCATTTATACCCTTTAGAGACCAATATTCTATAATGTTAATTCTACATCAGGTTGTTAGAGTAGGCAGTTAAGTTCTGACAGGATACCTGGAGATCAACAATGAGGAAGTCATGGGCAGATACTGGGAAGGTCAGAGGCCTGTCCATGCAGCACTCCACAAGAAGCCGGATCAAACCAGACCAGCCAAGATGGCAGATGCCATCACAGGAAACCCTGACCAAATTAGGAAGAAAAAGCCAAAACCCTGCTTCCCGCCCCCTAGTTAACAACTGTGAATATAAGACACCCAACCCCCAGGGAATGCTGCTCTCATATCTCTCTCTTGAGCTTGCCTGCTCTCACATCTCAAGAGTGTACTTTTTTGCTTTAATGAACTTTTCTTGCTTCTTTTTTTTTTTTTTTTTTTTTTTTTTTTTTTTTTTTTACTCATCTACTGCACTGCGTGTCTGTCTTTGAATTTCTTCTCATGACAAGACCAAGAACCTTCAGTAACTCCTTTGGGTCTGGCTGCGTGGAAGCATCAGGGCCGGAGGTCTCTCCAGTTCACATGGCAACACACAGTTGCTACTAGGGACATTTGTAGGAATATTTCCACTGGATCAACTAACAGAGTTCCTAAGTGAAAACTGAAAAAAGTAATTTATCGTTCCTAGGTGTTCCTTATCACCTAATTCTTTCCAAACTACTTCTTTGGGAAAGATTATTTTTTAAAGGTTTTATTTATTTATTTGACCTTTTTGGGGGGGGAGATTTTATTTTTAAGTATTTCACTTCAGTATAGGGCAGGCAAATATAAATATAAATTTGTTTCCTAAAGTTTTATTTTTTATTTTTATTTTTTTTAAGATTTTATTTATTTATTTGACAGAGAGACAAGCAGCGAGAGAGGGAACACAAGCAGTGGGAGAGGGAGAAGCAGGCTTCCTGCTAAGCAGGAAGCCTGACTGGGGGCTCCATCCCAGGACACTGGGATCATGACCTGAGCAGAAGGGAGATGCTTAACCGACTGAGCCACCCAGGCGCCCCTGTTCCCTAAAGTTTTAGATTTTTTTGCTGTTATATTCTCTTTAGGACAGTAATATCTAAAAGCTTTTGAAGGTATCAGATTTGGTGTGAAGATTATTTTCAAGTTAAAATATCTAAAATCTTGGGTGCCTGGGTGGCTCAGTTGGTTAAGTGACTGCCTTCGGCTCAGGTCATGATCCTGGACTCCCAGGATCGAGTCCCGCATGGGGCTCCCTGCTCAGCAGGGAGTCTGCTTCTCCCTCTGACCGTCCCCCCCTCTCATGTGCTCTCTCTCATTCTCTCTTTCAAATAAATAAATAAAATCTTAAAAAAAAAAACATCTAAAATCTTATCTGAATTTCCTTTATCTGACTAGAGCAGAACATCCCAAAAATACAGGAGCCACATGAACCACCCCCCACCCTTCCAGGAGAGCTTCCTGAGAATTCAGCGGCATGGATACAGACTGTCCATTACCAATAGCATCAAAAGTCCAACAGAATATTCCATACTTTTCCATGAAGCCCTGAAACCCTTTGTTAAGTTGGTATACAAGCTTTTACCTCTGGGTATTCTGGGAGTTATTCATTACAAAGCAATTCCCACATGCATATGTAAAGGAACCTTGTCTTTTCTCCTGTTTATCTATCATTAGTTTATCTATCATTAGTTAATTCAAAGGTCCTGGATCATTCAAACCTAAATGGGTGGAGGAAAAATTTTGCCCCAATACTCTTTTAGGATTTTATTTAATGAAAAGACTAATCAAAAGCAAAATTTTTCAAATTGCAAATGGAACCACTAGTGGGTTGTGAAATCAATATAGTAGTCTGTTTACTACAGGTTTTACTTAAAGAATCATGAAGGATAATACTACATATGGCCCATTACATACAGTAAGGTTTTTTGTTTGTTTTAAACATAACATTGGGTTACAAAGAATTGTACTGTGTCTTGTGGTCAAAAAAATCTAAGAAACTGCTCCAGATAGACTGGTTATAGATCTAATCCATCCATTTACCTCTTCTCTTTTTTCCATGCTATACAACTAAGACTGTTGAGAGAGGAATGCAAATCCCATCAATGGCTAGTGTCGGCCTTTCATAAGTAACTGCACATTTGAGATACTTCTGTATTGGTAAGCTGAGATCTTAGTAGATTGATGGTCCTTCTCATTGGTAGCCACATATTTGATTCACCTAGGAGCTTTTTTTTAAAATCTTTTAAAAAGATTTTATTTTTTGTCAGAGAGATAGAGAGAGCACAAGCAAGGGGAGCAGTAGGGGCAGAGGGAGAAGCAGGCTCCCTGCTCAGCAGGGAGCCCAATGCAGGACTTGATCCCAGGACACTGAGATCATGACCTGAGCTGAAGGCAGATGCTTAACCATCTGAGCCACCCAGGTGTCCCTCACCTAAGAGCTTTTAAAAATTAATACCCTAAACACATGTGAAACCATATTAATCAGAATCTCTAGCTGTGATATCTAGGCATTTGTGTTATGCAAAACCTTACCAGGTTCTTATAATGACAGCATGATTTAAAGCTACTTAGGAGACCTGCCCTATTTCCCATGGTTCTCTTTGTTTCTCTCTAGCTGTCCCACCATGGACTTCTTTCCCATTGGACCTAAAGATTTTAATCTTCCTTCTTACGATCTGAGGTGAATCTTTCTTTCTCCATTGGATTTCCAAGGCAAGGATTTCCTTCTGTTTATCTACCTGGGTCTTTACCAAGTTCACCTCCAGATTCCCTTTTCCCAAAGCTAATTCACCACAAAGGCTCCCTCAGGTCAAGTAGCTGGGCTTTCCTATGCCTGTAGTCACTGGGTGCTGTAGGACTGACATGAACTCCCAGGTCCTTCCATTCTCTGAGCCACCAGGCAACTGGTTCCAGGAATATGAGGACAGTCCTATTTAGAAGAGTCCTTGGAAACAAAAGCAACATAGGTACAAGAAGGTAAAAGAAGGGGCCCCTGGGTGGCTCAGTCGGTTAAGCGTCTGCCTTCAGCTCAGGTCATGATCCCAGGGTCTTGCGAATGAGCCCCACGTGGGGCTCCCTGCTCAGTGGGTCAACAGGGAGTCTGCTTCTCCCTCTCCCTCTGCCCCTCCCCCCACTTGTGCTCTCTCTCACTCTCTCTCAAATAAATAAATAAAATCTTAAAACAAAACAAAAAAAAGAAGGTAGGGTCTCCTGGGTGGTTCAGTCAGTTAAACTTCTGCCTTCAGCTCAGGTCATGATCCCGGGATCCTGGGATCAAGCCCTCACATTGGGCTCCCTGCTTGGTGGGGAGCCTGCTTCTCCCTGTCCCTCTGAAGCTCCCCCTGCTTATGCTTTTTTTCTTCTCTGTCAAATAAATAAATAACTAAATAAAAACCTTAAAAAAAAAAAAAGAAGGTAAAAGGAATCTTGGGTGACCTTTCTTAATGGGCACCTACCAGATCAGGCAGGGATGTCTATTGGATTGGGCATTGCACACAGCAAAAACGCAGTAAATGCTGAGTCTGGTGTATAGGGGTTAGGCTGAAGATATTTTGCAGGTTTGTAAATATTTTTGCCAATCTGAAGGCAATTTGGTTTGGTTTGGCTTTTCTCAATAGGAAGACCTGGGAACCGTAAGGCAATTGGAATATTATAGTTTGATTGCAATAAATTTGTATTTTGCCAAGGATCAATATAAGCTATACTTATTTCAATTTTTTAGTACTTTATTTTCATCAGTTTGAAAATTGGGGTTTTGCTCCTTTTAAGCTCATGGTACCTATCTGGTCCTCACATTTCCTCCAAGACTACTGACCTAGAATCTAAATTCTGTTTGCTTGTTCTTTCGGCATTCTAAGACAGAGTTTATCTAATCTTGGCAAATTTTACTCAATTAAAATAATTGTTCTCTTATGTCTTCTCACCTTTGAGGATTGTTCTTTTTTTCTCAGGCTTGCATTCGTGAGCTGTGGTTTGTACCTAAATGGTGGATTTCCCAGAGGTACTCCTTCCTGGAGCCTGGGGTATGGGGACCTGTGGAGGGAGCACCTACGAGGTAGCCCTCTCTAGATTGAGAATTATGAGTCATGAGGCTTTGGGTAGCTGTGGCCTCCCCATCACCTTTTGTTTTTATAGCTGGGTATGGCAAGAGAAAAGAAGGCTCTGAGAGTGACCTTCTCTTGGGGGTTTTGACCACTTACCTCTGGAAATACGATTCAGGTGAGCCAAAAGGCTCAGACTTTTTTCCCTGATACCTCTGTTTTCATTGTACAGCTGGGCAACAGACTCCAAGCTCTGCCTGTTGAGGTTAGACATGTATCCTAGTCCAGGAAATAATTACAGTTTAGGCAAGTTAAACACATTCACTTGAGATAACGCTTTCTGCAATTCCTTTTCCCCTTCTTTCTCGGCCCAAAAGAAAACCCTGGGGACTCAAAGGTTGGGACTTTAGTGTGATGGGACAGAAGCTTAATTTTCACAAGGCCCTTAACAAATGCCAGCTCATTCATTAGTATTATCACACCCAATGGCTGAAATTATGAAGTAGACTTTTCTCATGACATAGCTGCTGCTCTGGTGTGGAAGAGACCCAGTCACTGTTCTGGCCCAGCCCAAGACTGAGGAATGATGGCCCTTGTGTGAGTGCAATCCAAGAGGAGGCTGTGGGGAGAAGAACCACGTTGGGGACAATGAAGAGTAACCAAGACATTAGAGAGGGGGATGAGGATGGCAGCAGCAGGGACCCTCGCTCTGCTGAACGTGGTACTCAGCAACTTGAGTTCTACTGAATGACTGCCACGCAAGAGGAGAGGAGCAGCAGAAAGCATATAGCAGAGGAGTCACAAGAAGGGCTTTGGAGATCAGACAACTCGAAGATGGAGGGATAGCTCAACCTTGGGGCAAATCTCTATCTGAGCTTATTTACTCATCTAAAAAGTAGGACTATTCAGGGGCACCTGGGTGGCCTAGTCGTTAAGCGTCTGCCTTCGGCTCAGGTCATGATCCGGGAGTCCTGGGCTCGAGCCCCCCAGTGGGCTCCCTGCTCCGCGGGAAGCCTGCTTCTCCCTCCCCCCCTCCCCCTGCTTGCGTTCCCTCTCTCGCTGTGTCTCTCTCTCTGTCAAATAAATAAATGGAATCTTAAAAAAAAAAAAAAGTAGGACTATTCATACCTGCCCTATTCTCCCTAGTTGGGCCATTTCTAAGAGTAAGTGAAGTAAGGTACATCAAGTTCTTGCAATCTGTGAAGCCCTGAAACACACGACAAGTCTTTAGAAAGATACATATTGTCAGAAGCAGGCAGACTTGAGCCGCCCCTACCGTTTCCTTGGTCAGAAATGCTGAGATGATGTTCCAGCTTTTCTTGAAGGCAGTCATTGATGAAAATAATTTCCTTCAGGTGCTGGTGCAGGCTCTGGATCTCATCTTCTGCAGCCATTCCACCAGGACAGGGAACGAGGTAGAAGATGGAGAATCCTTATCACTAATGGGGTGGCCAAGGGCCTCTCAGCAAGATCCCTGCCTTTCACCATTCTTCTGCCAACTTCCTCTTTCATCAAGGAACACCAGGGGACTTCCTTTAACAGCCCTTAAAGGCCTTCAAACAAAGCATGGTCCAATGCTAAGCAAACTCCCCAGGACCACCTCTCACACAAGGATATGGGAAGTATAAAGGAGGTTGACATAAGGTGGGAAAACACCAAATAAGCCTTCTGAGTAGGGCTTATCTAGTACTGGGAGAGATGTGGCCACTTTTTACGTAAGACTTTCAGGTATTAGTTAATGTCTCTACTAAATACCTCTCCCACATGATTTATGACTGGACATCTTTAATAGATGACAAAGACCTCCCTCTACATCTCAAGGTGAAATGGGAAATAGGAATGAGGAAGCCTTTGTAAGGGGACTGCCTGGGTAATAAAAAGCACCCACCACCTGACATGGCTTATATCACTATTAAAAAACTCAGTTAACACTGACTGGATTAAGATAGTCTCTTTCTTAGGGTGCCTGGGTGGCTCAGTTGGTTGAGCATCTGACTCTTGATTTCCTCTCAGGTCATGATTTCAGGGTTCTGAGATCAAGCCCCTCATAGGGCTCCATGGTGAGCACAAAGTCTGTTTGTCCCTCTCCCTGTGCTCCTCCTACTGCGTGCTCTCTCTCTCTCTCAAATAAATAGATAAATAAAATCTTAAAACGTTTCTTTCTCATGCGTACAAGAGGACACAAGACATATAATTCTCTAACAATCCAAACTTTTATCCCCAGAGGAAAGTCAAACAGTCAAAAAACGGAATGGAGATGAAGGTTGGGGTTTTAATCTACACACACACACACACACACACACACACACACACACCAGTGAGGCCGCTACCCCTAGGGGCTCTTAAAGCACTGAGACTAAACCCACAGACATTTTTTAAAAATGGTATCACACAAAGGATGGGAACTCTAGCTACCCAAGGGCTGCCAAAAGATGAGCCTTGTCCTTAGGGAAACCACCTGATATTCTGGTACTAAGATGGAACCTTGTAAGGAAGCAAGTCATCTGAGGGGAGATGAAAACTAAAGACTGGAACCATGATAATGCACCTCCAAAAATATGGGCAAAACTGCTAGTATTTCTCAGGCAGTTAGAAAAGCTTAAGGGACACTGTTCAGGAACTATAGTTAGCAAGAACATTCCCAGAAAGCTAAGATGTTTCATCTTAGAGGAGGTCTATTAGATTCTGTACACATGCTGCAGTGGTAGCAGAGAGTCTGCCATGATCCCTTCACTCTCAGTCTGACTTGCTTGGAGTCCATCAGCTTGCACAAGCCAGCGGGGACCAGAGTGACTGAGGTGAGGTGTGGACCAGGAACAATGCAAATTACCTGACCCACCAGGGACCTGTACTTGAAACTTGGTCCCAGAGCTGTGTTCAGCCTAATAATATTTTCAAGGTTAATCTTTAGGGCCTGCCTGCAGAGATGATCTCATTCAGCCTAGACAGAGATGGTAAGCATGTAGAAGCTACTGGAGCTTTATTCTCCATTTTTCCAGTGTTGGTGGAATTTTATTCTCTTTATAATGGGAGTACTCACCGGTGACTTCCGCCGCAGAGCTGGCTTCCTGCACATCAGAAGGGAAGGCACTGCTGCTGGGAGGCTGGTGAGAGTCACAGCGACTGGAATGAGTCAAATACCGTTCACCTAGTGAGTCTTCCGAGACTTCATTCTCTTCTTCCTCCTGGAGCTCCCTGCTGAGCCTGGGGTGGGGGCAGGGAGGGAGGTAAGACAGGAGATTAAACTAAGGCAACCTGGAACCACAGCTTCACAGCTGATCCTATCTGAAGCTCCTGGAAGAGACACCAGAAACCAAAAAGGCCATCTGGATGAGAAAGAAAGCATAACAATCCAATAACCCTTCTGACTAGGGTTACTGTGCCTAGAGTTGGGTAGAAGGGAGCAGCAGGTGCTCAGTGTGCTGACCACATAACATGGATCAGGAAATAGACTCAACTACTCTCAAATACACTTATGACACACAGAGACCTTAGAATGCTGTGGCCAACTTTTGTTTAAAAAATATGAAGTAGGGGTGCCTGGGTGGCTCAGACGGTTAAGCGTCTGCCTTCGGCTCGGGTCATGATCCTGGGGTCCTAGGATCAAACCCCACATCGGACTCCCTGCTCAGCGGGGAGCCTGCTTCTCCTTCTCCCTCTGCTGCTCCCCCTGCTTGTACTCTCTCTGTGTCTAATAAAAAAATTTTTTAATTAAAAAATAAAAATAAAAAAATAAAAAATATGAAGTGGTCCACTGAATTAGTGGCTCCTGAGACAATGTCTCACTCTGGGTTTTTTGTTTTTGTTTTTTTTTACCATACAGGTTTTTAGACTACAGAAACCAGGGATCTCTGGCCTTTATGTCAGACTGACTCTAGCTAATTAAACTTGATGAATTACTAGGAAACGGTAACCAATACAAGAACTGCACAGAGAACAGACAACATTGTTTAAAAGGACAGACACATCATTGTATGATGAATGAACGAATGAATGAATGAATGAATGAATGAAATAGGTACAATCAGCAGTTTCTGAGTTTTTTTCCCTGGATCTGGGACTTTGGCCTTTTGGTCTCTTGCTTCTGGAATCTTCTCTAGACTTCACCATTCCATTACCGACCCTTTCAGCATTCAGTTACCCGGGTGCCAGAGGCTCCTGTCCATCTTCATCCTTCTTATCATTGTGATTTTCTACAAACCAAAAAATAGAAACAGCTAGTCAGAAATTGAGCAGGTCCCATTTCACACATTACAAATATGAGGGCCTATATGATCAGAGACGTAATACTCCACATGTTTGTTCAGAATGCTCTGAGAGAGAGGCCTTAGGTTGTGTCTTCAGAGAAGTACTCTGGCAAGCTTTCCTGAGCAACACCGGACGGTCTCTTCCTGGTGTGGCAGATCATCACCATGGCATCTGCTACCAAGTCAAGGCAAAAAGTTGAAAATGTCTTTTGTCCAGTGCACAGAATACTCGTTCAGCTGCCTTCTGGACTTCTCCACCTGTAACCTTCATTTTTGCCACATAGCTGGTGGCTAGACCATGGTTGTGTGGCCTTTTAGGCTCTCATAAAGAACACACTGCAGTCTCTGAAGAGCAATAACTTCAGGAGAACCCACTGAACCTTTCTAACCAAATGACTTGACAAAGGCACTTATGCATGCCAGAGTGTGTGAAGAGAATCTTCCCTCCTTTTTTTTCTCCTTTTTTCCCCTGACCCCGCCTAGAGACCAGCACAGTTGCTGAACTGTATTGTCAAGGCAGCTGAACAGTAACCTGAACCACAAAAGAGAATCTAACTCTCTCATCAAAAGAACCAGGAAAAAGGGACCTCTTGCCTAAAAAGTGTGAAGAGTGCTCCCTTTTATTTTCTATTTCTCAATTTTCTTGCCTCCTTGCTCTCAAAGTAGCCCCAGTCATGCAGAACTGCAACGCAGTGTGAGAAGAGAAATCTCTGAGAAAACTCAATCTTTCTAAACAGAGGAACTTGGAAAAGGGACCCTTGGGAACTTGAAAGTATAGAAGAAATACCATAGATAAGAGAGGCTGGAAAACGGTCTATGAGCTGACAAAAGTACCAGGATTCATCCACAAACCAAATATGTGTGGAATAGGCCCAACAGATCATGACAAAGGATTAGAGAACTGAATTACCCCATAAACCACCACCTACTCCAGACTAAGCCTGAGTAACATATTTGCTGGACCAACCCAAACAGCAGCATATCAAAGGTACTGAACGCTCACCTGACATTGGAACCACTGCCTATAGAAGGTGAGACAGACTTGGGAGTCTGACCCTAATGGGGTTGATTGCCTGCTAAAAAATAATTTCCAGGGGTGCCTGGGTGGCTCAGTTGTTAAGTGTCTGCCTTTGGCTCAGGTCATGATCCCAGGGTTCTGGGATCAAGCCCCAGGTTGGGCTCCCTGCTCAGCAAGAAGCCTGCTTCTCCTTCTCCCACTCCCCCTGCTTGTGTTCCCTCTTTTGCTGTGTCTCTCTCTGTCAAATAAATAAATAAAATCTTAAAAAAAATAATTTCCGGAGGGTTTTAACAGGACCCAACATCTTATGATATAATATGCAACCATTTCAGTAAATGATTAAAAAGCATTTGATAGAATTCAACATCTATTCAAAATAAAACTCTCAGAAAATAAGGAATAAAAAGGAACTTCCTCAAATAAGGTGGAAACATTTCTTGGTTGGACCATGCCTCCTCATGTTTGCATTAGGAGACATAATTTTTTTCCCCCGTTGTCAGCAGTCACCATCATAAAACAAAAAACAAAAGATTTGTTTGTTCATTCAAATATGAATAAATAAAACCAAAAAAAATCAAAAAGGGAACTTCCTCAACCTAATACGGCACAATGATCATTAATTAGGAAACTCAATATTATTTTAAGATTGATTTATTTGAGAGAGAGTAGGGGAGGGGCAGAGGGCGAGAACCCACACAGGGCTCAATCCCAGGACCCTGAGATCATGACCTGAGACAAAACCAAGAGTCAGACACTCAACCGACTGAGCCACTTAAGTGCCCCAGAAAACTCAGTATTATTAAAAATGTCAATTCTCTTCAAATTTTTCATAAATTCAAAGCAATGCCACTCAAAATCCCAAGAGGATTTTGTTGCTGTTGCTTTTTTTTTAAACAGATAATGGCAAGCTGATTGTAAAATTTATGTGGAAAGGCAAAGGACCTTGTTTTAGGAAAAGAGTTCTTAGATTTAACTACAAAAGCATGATCCGTAAGTTGGACTTCATTAAAATTAAGAAATTCTGCTCTCTGAAAGACACTGTGAAGAGACTGAAAAGATAAGCCATAGTCCAGGAGAAAATAGTTGCAAATTTAATATCTCATAAAGGACTTGTATGCAGAAATGTAAAGAACCCTTAAGACATGATAATAAGAAAACAAACAACTCAATTTTAAAATGACAAAATGTTTGAACACTGGCCTCACCAAAGATATAAGGAGAGTCCATAGGCATTTGAAAAGATCCTTAAAATCATTAGTCATTAAGGAAATGCAAATTAAACCACAATGCCTTCCCTGCCCCCATGCTTATTAAAATTGCTAAAAAGACAAAAAGCAAAAGAACAACAACCTGAAATTATCAAAAGTTGATATTGGGGAACAACTGAAATTTTCACACATCGCCAGTGGGAATCTGAAATGGTATAGCCACACTGAAAAACAGTGTGGCAGTTTCTTCTTCACATACCACGTGACCCAGCAATCCCACTCTTACATATTTACCCAACTGAAGTGAAGTGAAAATGTATTTTCACACAAAAACCTGTATGTGAATCTTTATAGCTATTATTCATAATTGCCCCAAACTGGAAATAATCCAAATGTCCTTCAATGGGTAAATAGACAAATAAATGTAGTATATCTATATAATGGAATAGTACTCAACAGTAGAAAAAGAAACAAACTACTGATACATTCTGGAGATGGAAAATCTGTAGGAACAGAAAACAGATCCAGTGGCTTCCAGAAACTGGGGCGGGAGACAATGGTTGACTACAAAGAGGCACAAAGGAACTTTTAGTGGTAATGGAACTGTTCCGTATCTTGATTGTGGTGGTGCTTACACCACCCTATATGCATTTCTGAAAGCTCACAGCACTGACACTACAGTGGGCCATTTTACTGTAAATCAATCATCCTTAAAAGAAAGAGGAAATGTCACCTTGGGCCCAGGTGAGCCCTGGTAGGTATTTCTACCTGATAGCATCACCATCAATAGGCTGAGAAGGGCACAAAACAGTAGGACATCTGGCTAAAAAGTCACTCTTAGAGTCCTGGAAGCATGGAGACTTATGTGAGGCTAGGATCTTTGTGAGGATCTAAGGGTCTCCATAGCCTGTAAGCCAACCTACCAGTGGTGAGTTTGCTGGCAAGGTTCTCTGCCAGGTGGCTTCCTTGGGCCAGTTGTTCACAGAATCTCTGTCCCTGGTTGCGGGCAATGTCAGTGCTCCTGAGGAGGGCTTCAAAAGACTTGACCGTGCTCTTTGTATGCTGAATGAAAAGATAACAGACACCTTTCCCTTCCTGTATCCTCTGTCGCAAGTGGGTCAGTTCTCGTGCCTGAGCCTGAATTAGGGGATCATATTTCCTAAAGTAAGAAAAACAAGTAAAATGTAACAGTGCATAGGTTATGGGAGTTTCAGCAGAGACATCTCGTAGAATGCCACTAAGGAATTTCCCAAGTTGAATTTTTACACAAGTTGTATGACTGGCCTCTGGCAGAGGGAATGAGGAAACAGCATTGGGTTTGTTTCTTTGTTTTTTATGAACTTTACTTTGAAAAGATGCCCCTTCAGTTCTTCAGTTCAGTCCACATCCATTTCCATGGAATATATATCATCAAGCATTATGCAGAAAGTGGCATGCACACATGCACAAGCCAGATATAGAAGTGTTGGATGGGTACATGTGGTGTTGATTCAAAGGATGAAAAGAAAAATCAATGAAAGGGTCAAGAAGCATAGCATTCTTTTCAGTGACATGAAAATAAGCCACAATCAGTAAGGAGACACTAAAGAGTAAATAAAGTTCTGAGTTACAACAATTACATCATTCTAAGTGGGTTTTCACCATTTTCTAATGATTATACAAATATTTTGCATGGATTCCAATCTAAAATGTAAGCTCTCTGAGGCTAGAGATAGTGCCACATATTATGCAACTTACAGTACCCAACAGAGTGTGCATACACAAGTAGGTATTCAGTTAATACTACATAGAACCACATAATCCTAAAGCTGGACTAGACATTTATAGTCATCTACCTCATCTGATGCCTGAATCTCCTCCCTGCTGTCCTACTAAGCGCTGGTCTCCAGATTGTCTTTCAAACTCTATTCTATAGAGCTTCTGTAAAGTGTCAGAGCTGGTAAAGGCATAGACTAGAGAACAACAGAGGCTCTAGACCTAGGCTTCCTTCAATCAAGTATCTCTGCTTTAGATTTTACGTATTTGAGCTTCTCAGATTTCATTTCAACAAAGGGTTGAAGGACATCTTGAATGCCACAATCTGCCTTATATGTGAAAAACCCTCTGAGGATAAACAATGCTAGTACTCAGTATTAAATTATTAATAAACTATTTTCCAGACAACAGCTGCTTGATTATCTATATACCCAATAGCCCTACCAGTTAGTACTCCACATAGTATGATATTTAGAAAAAAAAAATCAAGGTTGAGAAGGAGAAACATTTTTGTCATGAAAAGACACTTTGGAAAGCTTGGAAAATATTTCTTGTAGTAGAAAATGTTAGTCCATTAATGACAACCACCACACCTATAAAAAAATGAAAGTATAGGGCGCCTGGGTGGCTCAGTTGGTTAAGCGGCTGCCTTCGGCTCAGGTCATGATCCCAGGGTCCTGGGATCAAGCCCCACGTTGGGCTCCTTTCTCGGCAGGGAGTCTGCTTCTCCCCTGCCTGCTGTTCCCCCTGCTTGTGCTTGCTCTGTCTCTCTCTCTCTGGTTCTCTCTGTGTCAAATAAATAAATAAAATCTTTAAAAAAACAGAAAGTTAAGTAAATTTGCCCAAGGTCACATTGCCAGTACTCCATCTCAGGTATCCCTCTCCATTTTATTCCTATGATATTTAAGGGAGAACCCCAGAGACCTAACTACACTACCCCCCAATTCCCACAGCCCCGCCAGTTGTCTTTATCTAGTTCTGTGCCTGCCGCGTACTTCTCTATCCCTCTCCTTGGACAAATGCGCTCTTTACACTAGCAGCCTGGGCTGCCCCACTTCAAATAGTACTTCACACTTTCCCACACAGGTACCTACTTACCCAAGCCTTGCAGCTGGTGTCATCTTCTCTGCCAGCTGCCTGTCAAACTGTACTTCTTCCTCCAGCACGGATTCGATGAGGCCTTTGTACTCTTCACACTCTGAGAAAACAGACACACCTGCCTCAGGGGAAAGCTGGACATGCTGCTGTGCTCGCTGCCTTCAAAGGAGGAGGCAGGGTCCATCCCTGGCAACCAGGCTCCATGCTGGGAGCTCCACATCTCATTCCTCAATCTCCCAGACTACATGGCATTTTATTTTATTTTTTTTTAAAGATTTTATTTATTTGACAGAGAGAGACACAGCGAGAGAGGGAACACAAGCAGGGGGAGTGGGAGAGGGAGAAGCAGGCTCCCCGCGGAGCAGGGAGCCCGATGCGGGGCTCGATCCCAGGACCCTGGGATCCTGACCTGAGCTGAAGGCAGACGCTTAACGACTGAACTACCCAGACGCCCCTACATGGCATTTTAGATATGAGGAAAGAGAAGCTCATGGGCAGGTAACTCACTCAAGATAATTGAACTGGAAGGAGACAAGTCAGAATTCATATCCCCTGAGGTCTGACTCCAAATCTTGGGCCACTTTACCAAGCCTCGTAGCCTCTTAGGGAAACCATTAACCTGGGACATGAAGTAGTGATTTCCTGTGTGTTGGGGAAAGCTCCAAAGTTTGTAGGACTGATAGTTCTCCCATGTTGAGAGTTTCAATAATCCCCCCAATATTTCAAAGATTTCCAAGTATCTGGATACAACTGTGTAATATGTATACAGAGGGGAAAAAATCTGAAAGATATATGTTCCAATGCTACCAGGTGTTGTGTTAGAATAGAGGGAGAACTAATACATAGTGCTTCCATGGCATTGTTCTAGTAGATTTTCAAGAATTATTATCATGTAATCATCACCACTAGCTAAAAAGGTAAATATTATTATTACCATTACAGATGAGGAAAGTGAGGTACAAAGAAGATAACTTGGATTTGACCCCAGGAGTCTGGCCCAGGATACATGCTCTTAATCACTGCACTGTATTATCTTTATACTAAGATCTAGGGTGATATCTCCTTTCTTCTCTAGCTTCAAAAAATTTGTCTTCAATTGTGATTTTAATGAATAATGTAAAAAAAAACCCTTATATTTCCACACCCCAAAGTTCATCTTTTCCTTCTTTATTTTTAATATTTTATTTATTTATTTGACAGAAAGAGCACAAGCAGGGGGAGTGGCAGGCAGAGGGAGAGGGAGAAGCAGGCTCCCCGAGGAGCAGGGAGCCCAATGCAGGGCTTGATCCCAGGGAGCAGGGAGCTCGATGTGGGGCTCGATCCCAGAACCCTGGGATCATGACCTGAGCTGAAGGCAGCCACTTAACCAACTGAGCCACCCAGAAGCCCTTTTCCTTCTTTAAAAAGTAGGCTTTTTAGCTTTTTTCTCCATGTCTAGTAAGTTGGGTAGCAAATTTTATCCCCCATTGATTATTGAAAAATAACTGTAGAAATTTGAAAGCAAACTCTACTTCAATATTAGCAAGACTCTTCCTCTAATATTCCTCTCTTATGTGTCCTCACTTCCATCATGGTTCCTTCAGTCACTACAGCTTCCTGCTGCTTCCCCTCTGGCCCCTCCATTACCCACAGGTTTGGGATTGTCCAAGGATTTCCAAATGTGAGAGCTGAGGATGGAGAGGGAAGGGCCAGCTCCTCCATTCTCATTTTGGCTCCACGTCTCAAAGCCCAGATCCTGGACTAGCTTGCTGTCTGCAAAGTTCATATTCAGGGAGAGATTGAAAAGGTGTTACAGAGTCTCTGATTTTCCTGGAAATACTTTCAGTCTCACCAGAGTGTGAGGAACAGCTTCTTAAAACTCATATGGGAAAAAAAATCTTGCTCCAGGCATCAGGACTTCCCTCTGCATCTGCTATTGATGTTCTGATCTCCAGGTATCTGCGGTTCAGTGGGGAACAGACAGCTTTAAGCTCCTATAAGGCAGATCGAGAATACCAGTACACTCCTAGGGCAGCTAGCACAATGCTTTGCAAAGGATACTTAGTAAAAGTTGGAATTGAATCCCAAGATATTTAAGCCAACAGTGATACTATATGTTTCTAGAATCTGACACAGGTTCTTGAGAGAGAAAAGATAGTTCAGTGCCTGAACCAGGGTTTTAGCCTCTCTGCCTCCCTACCTCTCACTGTAAACTTTACTCCTTTGTGCCTCAGTGTTTCCATCTTCTGCAAATTGAGGGTAAAATACCCACTTCTACCTTTCCAGGAGTATAGTCAAGATGAGATTTATTTTGATGGAGAGAGAAGAATAAAGTTTGGAGAGTGTTTAGTTTCTCATAGGGAAGTTAGACAATCATTTATCACTCTGGTGACTGTGAACCCATAGGGCTTACTGTATTTCTGCAGCTGGTTGGCCAGGGTGTAAGCAGTAGCCTTGGACGTGAGGAATTTCTCCGTGAGGTCTCGGAAGTTCTGTTTGTTTTTTTCCAGCTGGGAGCACAAGTACTGGTTGATTTCCAGAATGCTCATTTCTGTCCTCGGATCAGAGAAAGTGGTGAGAGATTCTGCCATGCTGAAGCTTGTGGTGGTAGAAGAAGTAGAGCCAGGACCTGGGGAGCAGAATAAATAAATAAATAATTAGAATAATTAAATAAATAATTAGAAACAAGTGAATAGATTATGGTGATGGCTGCAGTGCCTGGTAAATTACTAAAAATCATTGAACTGTACAATCCTAATAAGTGAGTTTTATAGTTTGTAAATTATACCTCAAAATTTCATTAGGTGGGAAAAAATGGACTTAAACAGGTCTAAAATATGCAGATGTAATTCATACTTACTTTGGGGCCAAACTTTGTCAGCATTCCACAACTGTAAGAATTCTTAACCACAAAAACAAGGTAGAAGATACCAGAGCTCAGAGCCTGGAGCACTGCCTGCAACTCAGCCTCTGGTAAGAGTGCCAGATGGAGTACCCAGCCTGCCAGGTAACTCTTTGGAGTCACAATAACAGAACTGGAAAGTGGGGGGTGTCATGGAATCTTAGGGACCCCTGTCTTCCAGTTGCTGAGGCCTTGCTGATACACAAGGTCACCTGATCTGTTGAGAAGGTCACCACTGATGGGGAGTCCCCCCAAACCCCCAGCAGCCACTCTCAGTGTTTGTGTGCCCATGTGCTGATACCACACCTCTTTCTAAAATTTAAGCATATTTTTCATTGTTTATTCTTGTAAGTGCATAGAAAACATGAAGGAATCAATATTTTCCCAGATTCTTTCATTGTCTTAAGGACTGTCATGAAGTCACTTCACTTTTCCGTCAGGAAAAATTTAAAACTTTTTGGTAGTCTTGGTGTTCTTCTTTGGTTCTCTAGTTTTTTTCCACATCAGTTTAATATTATAAGAAAAATTCTGAGTCTAATATTCAGTGCGTGAATAATTAATTTACAAAGATTTCTATCCTGTGTCTGAATTTTCTTCTTGCCATAGCCCAGGGTTATGTCTGCTTCTTTTCCCTCATTGAAGAAATATATTGGCTTTTCATTAAACTTGGAAGTCGAGTTTGACATCCCTATTTCCTAGCCCCGCCCTCCTCCTGTATGTGTGGATCACTTTGTGTTTTAATCTCTATATACATATATTGTGATTGTCACTTACGAAATTCTTTCTAGCTCCACAGGGTATCTTTCCCATTTGTCAAAGTCATTGAAAGAGTTTTTTTTTTTTAAGATTTTATTTATTTATTTGACAGAGAAACAGAGAGAGAGCACAAGTAGGCAGAGTGGCAAGCAGAGGGAGAGGGAGAAGCAGGCTCTCGCTGAGCAGGGAGCCTGACGCAGGGCTCGGTCCCAGGACCCTGGGATCATGACCTGAGCCTAAGGCAGATGCTTAACCATCTGAGCCACCACCCAGGCGCCCCTGAAAGAGTTTTTATATATGTCTTTGAATACAGGTAGTGGCCACCTTGGGATGACTTATAAACTAATGCTATTCTTTTTTTTAAAGATTTTATTTATTTATCTGATAGAGCACAAGCAGAGGGAATGGCAGGCAGAGGGAGAAGCAGGCTCCTTGCTGAGCAAGGAGCTCAATGTGGGACTTGATCTCAGGACTCGGGCAGGGAGAAATTTTTAACAACAGAAATCACACAATGAGGTGGTGGAAGTGAAAACAACTGTCAGCAATCTCCAACCAGCACTAAATACAACCAATTACAATGGATTCAAATCCTCTCAAATTGGGTGTAAAAGTAAGTTCCAGCTATGGCAGTGTGTTAGACAGAAAAGGGCTATATACTAACAATAGTACAAGTCTAGGGGCACCTGGGTAGCTCTGTCATTAAGCGTCTGCCTTCTGCTCAGGTCATGATCCCAGGGTCCTGGGATCAAGCCCCGCATGGAGCCCTGCATGGAGCCCAACAGGGAGCCAGGCATCGGGCTCCCTGCTCAGCGGGAAGCCTGCTTCTCCCTCTCCCACTCCCCCTGCTTGTATTCTCTCTCCCTCTCTGTCAAATAAATGAATAGAATCTTAAAAAAAACAAAAAAGAATAGTACAAGTCTGTACCAGGTTAAATGTAAGGCACTGTAAGTGAAGATATGACTCTCATACAAAGACAAAGGGCAGGAGGACGCTTTTAAATTGGTTGAAGAAGTGATATTCTAGTGTCTACAGGACATGTCAAATTGTTTTTCCCTGACTGCCTTCTGTGGTCAAGATGGTGTGATGAAGGAAAGAAATTTGGAATTTTCACTTTTTATCCATCCTGTATAGGTCTCTGCAAGACATCACAGTTTAAAAGCTGGGCTATTTTTTCCTTGGGCTTTTCTAGACACTCAAAAGAAGCTTCAGAGGTGAGAAACTCAATTATCACCCCAATTTTCCATTAGTAACTCAGCGCATACGCAAAGAGCCAGCCTCCTGAACTTTCATAAAGAACTGGTGAAAAAAATGGGAGGAAAGGGTTTGGGAGGCACCAAGCAATGGTAGGGCAGAGTTTGCTTCAGCCAGGGGGGAAATTAGCTTTCCATAGGTCCACACTAGATTTAGGACCAGACACAAGAGTCTGAACTAATTTTTTTTTTTAAGATTTTTAGTAATCTCGGGTGCCTGTGTGGCTCAGTCGTTAAGGATCTGCCTTTGGCTCAGGTTATGATCTCGGGGTCCTGGAATCAAGTCCCGCATCCGGCTCTCTGCTCGGCAGGAAGCCTGCTTCTCCTTCTCCCACTCCCCCTGCTTGTGTTCCTTCTCTCGCTGTGTCTCTGTCAAAAAAAAAAAAAAAAAAGATTTTTAGTAATCTCTACACCTAACATGGGGCTTAAACTCACAACACTGAGATTGAGTTGCATGTTCTACCAACTGAGCCAACCAGGTGCCCCATTTTCTGATATTTTTCTAGAAGTCTACTATCTACTTGGGAAGAGATTCCTGCCACGCCCCCCCCCCAATTAGGCTCTTTCAAATCAGGTATTTTGATTTGAGTGTCATTACTTTATAGTGCTACTTTACATAAATCCCCTATGCAAGTCTTTGCTGCAAGAGTTTTCTATGCGCTACCTGTTTTCCAAAGAGAAGAGCTGTGTAAAGCTGTTTTAGAATTGCTTTTTCAAAGTCCTCCCAGAGACTCGTTCTGATTAGACCTACTCCAGCAGTTGAGAAACAAGCATCAGTGGTTCAGTAGCAGAATTCTGGCCTTCCTTGTGGGAGGTCTGGGTTCCACTGCTGGTCAAAGGAGGGTTTTCCTTGCACTTTTACGTGTCCAGTGCTCTCTGTTGGATTATCTATTGCACTGGCAGGACAGGTTATTACAGGGTTGTGGGTCTCAGGAGGCAAAGCTAAAAAGGAAAAAGGGCAACTATACCCCTTAGGTTAATTCCAGAGCAGAACAGGCTCTAAACAAGGGATTTTTCAGAGCTCTCTGGCTTTGAAAGGACAGGTGAGTACGGTGGGTCATTTTAAATACTTGAAACTAAAGCCATTGCTACTTCTGATCTTTCTGCGGGCATTTAGGCGCCGACAGGTCACTGATTAGCATGCTGGGTCTTGGGTCTGACCACTGAGCGTCTCACTCTGGAGTGAGTATCAAGAGATGAAGATCCAGGAAGGAGGGAAACTGTGGAGCTCAGCAGATACCCTGGTGATTGGGGAGGCATTAGCCGCCTAAGGAAAGGAAAGGTTTGTGTGGAAGAATTAGCGTGAACATGATGAGGGAAGCTACAGAGAAGGGGCCTCAGACTTTTCTGTGGAAGTGGAAGTAGGCCCTCAACTTTGGTGGTCTTGGTAAAATTAAGGACAAGAATGAGCCCCAAGTAGAGAGCAGCACGTTCAAGAAAAGCATTATCACCCCTGCTTATTTTACATTCCCCTAAGCAAGACTTTTGGTAAAGCAGCACTGGGGAAGTCGCTGGCTCTGGAGGTGAGCAGGCGGAGACTCTGGAAAAGGCTCTTGGAGTCAAATCGTTTGTTTAGGCCTGTTTTCATCAACTCCTTTCCTCAGCAAAGAGTGGGCGAGGTTGCCCAGGAGAGACGCCCGTGAGACCCGGGGTCCCCAACATCACCCGCTGGACTCCGGGGGACGCAGCAGCCGAGGCGGCGCGGACCGAGACCGCTTTCGGGAAGGTTCGGCGGCCCCGAACTGGACCCCGGGTCTTCCCCCTACGGCCCGCCGCCCTGCGCTTCCACCCTACCTCCGCCGATGCTCTGCACGCTCGGGCCCTAACTGTTCTCTTGGACGCCGGCCTTGCTCCCGCCACACAGCCGCTCTGTCGGAAACTCGTGTGTCTTCTTTCGTTGGCCGCGGCCCTGGAGCCACGCTTCTCCTTGCTGCCCGCTTTCGGCAAACGACTCTCCCGGGACAGGCGGCGAGAAGGACTCCACTCGCGACCCCCGCTCCGCTAACACTTCGGGCTTTGGGACCTTTAACCTCGGGACCGGGCCTGGGCCGCCGTGGACACTCTCCCTGCGCTCTGCGCGTCAAACTAGCCTCTTCCGGGCCCGGCCTCCAGGGGCAGGGGCAGCGCCGGGCCCCCTCAGCGCGGCCCCTCTGGCCGGTGCGAGCCCCGCACCCCTGCGTGCGGCCAGCGGACCAGCTCCGGGCGCCGTCGATTCAGTGTGTCGGGGCCGGCGACGCGCAGGTGCGCGATGCGCGCGGACGCGGGCGGCGAACTCGCGGCCCCCCCCGCACCCGCTGCCCTCGCGGCCCCGCAGCCAGCACCCGCGGGCCCTAACGTCCCGGCCCGCCCGAGCTGCCAAGACGCCCAGGCGGGAGGGGCCGGGAGGAGAAGGGCAGCCTCCCCTCTCGGTCCTGCCCAGTATTAGGTTCCCAGAACGCTCTGGAAAAGACAGAGAGGGAGAGGTGGAAACAGAGCCAAGGGAAGGGAAGAACTCCGTGCGATTTTCCTCATCTGAAAACCGCATGAAGATGAAATCGGGGTCCTGGCGCTGGTGAAGGTCAGTCGAGTTCCCGTCTTCAGTGGGAGTCAAAGCCTCGGCCTGGCTGATAGAGGAAAGACGTTAGGGTTCGAAGCCGAGGGCCAAGAAAGAATTCTTGAGATGTCTTTGGTGCAAACAGGGTTT